TTCTGTGTAGCCTATAGCATAAGGCCACATTTTATTTCCGGAACCGGTGCAAAAAGTCACATTATTTAACTGTCTGCTTTTGGGCAGAAATGCATGAAGAACAAGAGTGCTTCATTACTGTGCATAGGGGACCTCACCTCCGTTAAAGGCACCCCCAAAAAGGGGTAGCAGAAGTTTGAGGTGACTTTACATTGTTAGAATAAATAATGGTTGCAAAGTGGATTATTAGGGAATTAGGAGGAAAAGAACATGGTATTTCCACCATGAAATGTCCTCGAAATTGCCCCAAAGGGTATAGGTATAAAAGTGAGTTTGAGGTGGCAGATGCCACGCACAATAACCCTACTGGGAAACTGTCTTTCTTCACATTCAATGAACTGCTGGAAAGATGAACGCAAATTCCTAACTAAGCTAGTTAACGGGTGGAAGGTGCTCAGTATGTGACTTGCTATTGCTACTATAAACTGTGAAAATGGAAAAAATAATTTTTTTTGTTTTTACTGCAAAGTTAAAGAGTATATTGTGATGGCTATGAAGTTCTCTTTATCTGAAGTGAAGAGTAGGAGAGCGGGGCATTATTCTGAAAGTCTGTTGAATATGTAATTTCCAAGAGCTGAAATAAGTAGTATTATGTTTTCATTACATTGATTATATATAATAAAACACCAGGCATTGCTCTGTATGCACAGTATACAATGTCAAGTGCATTTCCTGTATTTCACTATACTTTTGTTTCATATTTATCTACTTTTTATTGATAACCACTTGTTTTACTCTCTTTGGAAAGGAGATTTACCATATGCCGAATGCGTATGTATTACAAACTCTAGTATGTCTAAATGTGAAATCTATTTTTGTGTACTGAGGTTGAACTGCATTTTATTATTATTTTTAGGTTTTCCTTATACTTAACTTTCCCTTTAATTTCAGAGGATTTAGTGTATGAAAAGTTTACACTTAATACTTTGATTATCGAGCAATCTGAATTACGCTAATATCTGATAGAACAGGTGAAAGATGTTCTCTCTTCTCCATCTGAACATCCCTCTGCAATGTATCTAAGGGCTAGAAAAAAAGCAGGATTCAGTTTTGTGGCAGGTGATATTCCTGCATGAACTAAAATTAGGTAAACTGCATTCCTAATCATAATTTTTCTTTTTTGGTTCTGCTGTCTTCTCTGGTATAAAGGGAATGTGGCAGAGTGTTTTTTCTGTACGACCCTTGAAACTAAAGCTCATCCTACATGTCATTAATCCATAGCTGCGCTCTGCGTCCGATAGATATAAGTTAAAGGTGAACAAGGGAATGAGGAATAGTGAGACAGGTGAGACCGTAAACCAAATCACCTAGAAAGAGCGCTCTCCTTTACGAGCCTCTTTCACACCTATAAAGAGACCACCGTATCAGCACTCTTCTTGGGCTGTGCATTTTTTCACATGTTTTTGGTAGAGTTGCTGACTTTAGGACAGCGGGGACATAATGGGAACGGTGATGTTGCTGCCTGTGCCTTTGAGAGGAATCTGCTTTGGGCAGAAAATTATTAAAATTGTGGGGTGTGAAGACTGCAAACGGTTACAACTGCAGCGCAGAGCACCAAGGAGGAAAAAGTCCTCTCTGAAAACATCCCCACAATTTCTTTCCCGTGAATGATAGGCTTTGGCTCATGTGAAAAAAGCAAAGCCAATTGATTTAAGAGCAATTAACTCATCCAATATTGGAGAGTCACGTACAGTTTGGCATAATTCATTGAAAACTGTTCTGGCAATGCTGCAGGCCATTAGACATTTCAAAAAAAGAGATGGGAACTGACAGATATTCTGTTGGGATACAGTCGAGATGCACACTGGTTCGAGGAGTCTCCCTCTAATCCTGCCTCATGCCAAGAGGTAGTAGCCTTCTTTTGTCCTCCTAGAAAACCTCAGTGAAGAGATTGCTGGGGGGGAAGAGGGGGCAGATGCCTTGCTAGTTGATGCATTGGCCATCCGCCTGCCAGATAATTATATTTCCTATTGCACCTGGTATAATAGATTTGCACCTAAATTATCAATTACTTTGTTTTTATTTTTTACGGGGCTTACAGGAGTTAATCCTGACTTTGAGGCATGTTGCTGCATCTCTGCTAAAAACAAAGCAAGAGAGAGCCCAGGTTCATAGAGGCTGGAAAATTGCCTTTGCTGCGGCGCTTGCGCAGATCCCGGAGGAGCTGGGCTCCCGGTGGTCCCGGCTGGCAGCAGAGAGGCCCCCGCCTCTGCCCCAGCGTGCCTTCCTCCCGGCTCCCCCTATCCTCGGGCCACCAACTACTTCAGTGCAGTAGAAAAGGAGCACATAATGTGGATGTGTGGCTGTAACTTTTTAGTTTCGTATTTAAGTATTCATATAAACTGATCTTTTTTCTGAAAGCCATTCTGCATTGTGGTCTACCTTTTGTTGCCTTGGAACATAGCGTTCAGCAGTGATTTTAGTACTGTATTATTTGTGAGGCAGCAGTAACTCCTTGCTCTAGACCGCGTCATCTGGAAATAACCATGATGTGTAAAGCGCGCCGTACGTTTTGCTTATCTGAGAAGAAATCAAGATACGTCGGTAGCACAATCTGTTCCTTCATTGTAAATGCATCATTAATGAAATTTTTAAGAAGTAGTACTTTTCCCCCCCATTTTTGAACTAGCGAACGGAAAAGGACGAAAAAGAGAAACAATTTTTGTATCATTTTTCTTCTGTAATTGCATGACTTGCTTCTGTGCTGTGTGACTATATTTAATTAATGATCTAGCTCAGACTTGGTTACGCGGTTTGTTAATGCAAGGCATTGTGCTGGCTGTCTGTCCCAGTTTATTTGCGTGTGTGGGGAGGAATATTTGCAGTGTGATGCTACTTTGTTTGATGCAGAAATACAATGACATTGTACATCTTGGGAAGACATTTTCCTTCTTTGTTAATTATTTTAGCCTGCCGATTCACTTTTGTTACTGCAGTTCTGTAGAGCCATAGAGTCTAATGCTAGCCCAGATCGTTGGAGCGCAGCATGACCTGAGGGTAGCACAGCCTTCCCCTTCCCT